TATGCATATAAAGGTAAAAGGTCAGGCCATCTGCTTGATTAATTACGCACTATGCCAAGAAGACGCCGGTCACGGTAGCCGAGCGGTCTAAGGCATGCACTGTCTTCGCTCGCTCGGAAGCCGGGACCGTGGGTTCGAATCCCACTCAGGGCATGGATGTTTGTGTGCGTTTTTTTGTGTTTGTCTACAGGTAGAAGCCTTGCGACGAGCTGATCACTCGCCCAAGGAGTCCTACCGTATGTGTAAGATCTAGTAAACCGAAGTGAAACGGAGAGTTTCATGGAGGTAGGCCTAGGCCCAAATTGGGGCTGTAGCGCCACAGGAAAAAATGCCAAGAAGACATATGAGGGAGTGAAGGTATAGCTTCACCATTCTAGACTTCGGCACTAGATCTAGGGGAGTTGTCAGCTTCACGCCCCGGGCCGCTTTATCCCCAAGGAAATCGCCCCCAGTTCTCATTATAGGAGGCTAGATGGGCCTCAAAGTCGGTCTGGAAGATGTGAAAAAGTGAGAAATCTTGCCCTGCTGGGATTCGATTCACGGCCATCCAGCATGTAGCCAGTCGTAATACCGACTGAGCTATCCCGACTCTATATATGCATACAAATTGAAAGTTACAATTCACGTACAAGAACATTCGAATCCGTCATGTCCTTTGGTCGATTCTATTCGGTGTTATTCCTCGAGCTACATCATAATAACTACAGACGTTTTTGTAATGCCCCGTCCGTTCATGTAAAATTGAAGTTAGTTCGCCAAGTTTAAAAGGTAAATGTTTTCTGACTGGACAGAAAAGTGTTTTGAAAAGGTGAGAACCTGGACCAAATGTTGGTTTTGGTTTGTTTACACGTCACGGTCGGACTGACGTACTAATGCGCCGAGTCTATAGATGAAGGCATCGACTCTCCTTCCGTTTCCTCAAAGCGCGTTACTCCGAAATAGCTAAAATCATTTCCCATGGCAGTAAAAATGGAAATATTTGTTCTGCAGGAACGATTTTTTAAAGACACTTCGTTCATCACTATGTTTAGTCTGCGGATAAGAGAATTCAGATACATGAAAGGTTTTGTCTTCTAAACGTAATAAAACATATCGAGATTAGCGAAATATTATAATGTCTTACAGTTACTATTATTATTTAATACTGTGACATGACGCCTGAAAGCCAGAGTAGATGTTCACTGGCATATAACGATTTGATAAACAGGTTCCCCGGCAAAGAATGAGCTAGAAACAACCGAGGTATTGTTGAGCTATAACGATGGATACGTTGTTTTCTGTTGGGTTCACTCCGAGGCTATATAATGAGGATCCCAGGCCAGCTGAAAATAATAATTGACAGTTTCTTGAGACAGCAGTCAATGATGATCGAGAAGAAAAGGCAACCAGTCAGTTGGCAATTGCAGGAGTGCGGCTGTGAAAAGCAGATTTCATATGCCCTGCAATTACAGTGAGATTTGTATAATTACTTTACTGAAGTCCGTTGCCAGAATACGACTAGTGAAGACTGGGAACCCTTATGTGTATGTAACAGTGAACTGTAAAGTGTGTAGTTCAGCGATAACGCTATAATTACGTGTAATTCCGAATGGTGCCAATAAATCCAATATCCAATCCAAACCCCGTTAATAGTGACTCTAATATAAGTGACAATATTATTACCATGAGTACAGCAATATTCGGATTCAAAGAAATGAGCAAAGATCACAACAAGGAATTATCAACAAGGAAAATAAAAGCAACAGCTACACACGACACAATAAGAGGAACTAGTTATTGCGGGAGGACAAATAGCGCATAGACGAGGTCATATACCAAAAATTGAATCTATGGACGGAACCACAGCAGTTTCATCAGAAATTTTAGAGACGCCTGAAAGCAACCAATGTTAGTCGAAACATGTGGTGTTCATACGTCAGTATCGTATAAGAGATTTTAACGTTTAAAAATTTAAAGATTTTAAACAGCAAGTTACACGTGAGACGGCTAATAACTAACAGAAATAAATAAGCGATATGCAACAGGATGCCACGATACAATATTAAAAAAATAACGGCATTTAGTGGAAACTATCAGATGAGAGTAAAAATTATAATAGAAGAGACATTTTTCTCTTCAGGTTTCCGCCTCAACTTTCGTGCCCATTGTCACACTCAGGCATTCTGTCACGCCAATCTCGTCCTTAAATTTTGTGTTTCGTGAAGAGTACAAAGTACAAAGGCTCCTTCTCATGTAATTTCTCCATTCTTCTGCTACTTTAGCCATCTTGCTTTCAGATAATATCTTTAACGCTTGTCTTTCCAAATCCGAGCATCCAGCTGCGTCTCTCTGCGTCAGTCCTTCCGAAGACACTGCGCGCGCTACAGACGCGTTAACGGAGACCGTGCAAATTTGCCGTTGAGGTAAATTGTCTCTTTGCTTAACTAATTAAGCACTACGCCGTGAACACCTATGGGGCAGTGGATGCATAGATCCACGCATTCTCGACCTCGGCATTAGATGGGAGTGGTGAGCTTCACGCACCGGCCGCTTTATATACCAGGGAAATTCACAAGCTACATATTGTATAGGAGGCTGAATGGGCCCCAGAACAGGTCTGGAAAACGTGAGATTTCCTGGGCTCGAACTCGGATCCCTCGGCCTTCGAACCCATAGCCAGTCGCTATACCGACTGAGCTATCTCACATTCAGGGAGCTATGGGAGAGAAAGGAAGATAAATTACAGAAATTCATATAATTAGAGCACCTGAGGATTCATGCTCTCTGTTAGAAGAATACCTGCCCTAACTTACAGAGCTGCTTTCCACAACCGGGTGGTCACGGCTCAAGAAAACTGACGACAGTACTCGTATAATTTCATAAGGCATTTAGAACCAAAACTGTACAAATTTCGTTCCCTCCAAGCTCGCTGTTGTACTCGTATGCTGATTGGCGGATAAAGGAATTTGGGGAATTTTAAATCTTAAACGTGCCCAGAAACAGAATAAATAGAAACTTAACTCGAAACTAAGTTCACTTCTGTTCATATAAGTTCATGGAAGTTCATATTTCGAAATTATAAACCTCAGTAAAATGATTCTGGGTAGGAATTCGTGTGTTAATTTTGGGGAGAGGGAGTGTAAACTTAGAGAGAGAATGTAATTGGTTCCGGAAGAAAGAAAGACTTGAAAAAATCTAAGAGAACTATTTGGAAAAGATTTCACTCTCGTGATGTTAATGCGAATTTATTTTGTACAATAATTTAATGGAAATGTTAATCTCTCCGGTAAAGAAGGTGTTTAAATAGGGCTTAGGTATCTCCATTTCGAGATACAGGAATGGTCACTCTCATTTCTTCACTGAAACAGCAATGAATATTTTACGAGTTTATTTATCCTGTGTAGGAACACAACTTTCCACTCTTTTTAAAAATATTTTGTGTATGATCACACTTTATCCACTCTTTTAGGCCGCGCCATAGCTCAAGCGGTTAGTCGCTGGCTTCCTACCGCCGCGGCCCGTATTCGATTCCGGGTCTGGTCAAGTGGGATTTGTGGTGGACAAAGTGGAGCTGGGGCGGGTTTTCTCCGAGGACTTCGGTTTCCCCTGCCAATATTCATTCCACCAAATTCTCCAACATCACAATCACCCGGGGCAGGTACAGTAGCCTAATCAGTGCCGAGCGGACCCAGCTGAACTCCAACCCCCCCCCCCCCCNCCCCCCCCCCCACTCTATACTGACTGTAACTGAACTTTTAACTGTGTAACTGAAAGGTGAGGACTAACATTGAGCACGAGTTCAACGCACCAAAACAAGAAAAGATATCCATAACAACGTCTGTTCTGAAACATGTCATTTGTGAGTTATAGCTGAAGGAGTACATTTACAGTAAGTGCTCAAAATGTCCTCCGTGAGATTCGATGCACGCCTCCGTTCAAAGATGACGGGGCAGTTGCGGAGATTCTGACAGGTATCCACAGTGCAGTGGTGAAGTTCCTCTTCGTTGTCAACAGGAGCTGCGTACACAAGGGCTTCTAGATGCCCTCCACGGTTGAAAACCCAGAGGATTCCAATCTGACGTGGAGCGTGGGGGGCGATTCAGTGGGTCCTCCTCTACCTATCCATCCGTCATGATAGGCGTTATTGGGGACATTTCGCACAGTGCTGGAGCACCAACATGCAGTCTTTCGGCTATAACTCACAAATTATATGTTCCTGGACACATGTTGATATGGACATTTTCTCTTAATTTGGTATGTGGAACTCGTACCAAAAATTTGTCGGCATCTTTAAGTTACACCTGTATATAAGCATATGATGCCTAAAGAACTGGAAAGGATATGATCATGGCCTAATTTTATATACTGCTCCGGTATTTGGCTGGAATGTTACAGGAACACCGTAGAAACCTCAGTCATGGTAGCCAGTGCATCTGCCGAGATGCGAATTGGATATATCAGGCTACTGCGTAGCATATTGTCATAAAGTGAAAACAGACGGCACCAAAAAGATTTTCCGTTGTAAACCTATATGGGAAGACATTCTGTACTTTAAATAAGAACCGTTCTCGCGCAATCTTCTTACAATACTGCCTCAGTATCACAAACCCCTACCAGTCCCCTGAAGTACAACTTACAAAAATTAACTTCCTGCCCATCTCTCGAGAGCCAGGATAGGGCGGTTGGTATAGCGACTGGATACGGGCTGTATGGCTGAGAGTTCGGAGTTCGAATCTCGGTATGGTCAATAATTTTCTCTTCTCAACTTTGTCCAGATCGGTTCTGGGGTCAACCCAACCTCTTATCCAATGGGTACAGTGGGCTATTTCCCCGTGAGTAAAGCGTCCGGAGCGTGAAGCAGACTACTCACCTCCAGCTAGTGCCGAGGTCAAGAAAATGTGGATTTATACATCCTCTCCTCCATACAGCTTCATGACGTAGTGCTTAATTAGTTAAGCACAGGGATAACTTTACCTTTTTAGCTCATCTCTCGAAGTATAACAAATAACGGACAGACTTACGTTCCCAGGGACATCCGTAGAGTTCCACCCTCATGCACACCGTCCTTGTGTGCAGGCTGTAGGGGATGAAGCGGACCTTATTGGCCACAAAGGGTAGTTCCAGCTCCTGGCGCATCACTAGGTACGTGTTGGTGTTACCAGCCAGGACCTGCAACACACAAACATATCCCACATTTACCTGGCCTGAAATTTCATCCAGTGTTCTCCTGGACACGGCAACCAATAGGCGAACTCGTACGTTGTGGTTCGGTTGAACATGAGGGCATAGGGTCTTTTTTAGTTTCTTGGGGTGCGGTGAGACCGAGTCCACTTGGTACGTCGGCAAACGAGTGGCCTAATTGTACCAGCCCCGGATGATAGACAATGAGTGTGGGCCGCAGTTATTAGAAGCCGGTGACAAACCGCCTGAGCTAGTCGCGCCATAGCTCAAGCGGTTAGTCGCTGGCTTCCCACCGCGGCGGCCCGGGTTCGATCCCGGGGTCTGGTCAAGTGGGATTTGTGGTGGACAAAGTAGTGCTGGCGCGGGTTTTCTCCGAGTACTTCCGTTTCCCCTGCCAATCTTCATTCCACCAAATTCTCCATCATCACAACCACCCGGGGCAGTCTACAATAGGCCTATCAGTGGACCCAGCTGGACTCCATCTCCCACTAACCGCCTGAGTTATGGCACGGCCTTCTGCTGCCTAACATCCTGTTTGAGAAGAAATCGTTGTATAAACAGATCTGAGCTGTTCGTCGTCTCCGGTGGACTCTCTGTGTGTTATTATATGCATAGCAATGGAGTTATTAGATGTGGCGGTATATAGCTCTCAAGTATATCATTACAATACATTTTTTCATGAAATATACACTGAATTGTATTTCTGTATAGACATACAATTCAATGTACTATTCGTTTTTAATTAAATATAATTCAATAACGTGCAGTACATTACATGAAAAACTGCTGGCTCGAAACCTGTAGTAAATGAGCATAATAAGAAGAATGATAATACAGTAACATTTTGTATTTATAACAAAATGTTGACGATTACATAATAATAATAATAATAATAATAATCCGATTTTCGACGAAAATGTCGACAAGGTACAGCCGAAAGCCTGCTTATTCCTTGACATAACTTGGCTATTTATTTTACTACAGAGGTTACAGTAATGGCATTACTTGTATTGCACTGTACTGTATTTAGAGAGGGTGGGTTTCCCCATGCACTTAGACTGACTGTTGGTCCATTGTGCGTCGCCCTATGATATTCTACCAGTCTCTATTTCCTACCGGTACTGGTGTGTGCCATTAGTCCCGAGTCAGCCAGCGAGTTCGGCCTCTACTGGCTCAGCGGTATCTCGATGCTTCCCCCATCTACCATAGGCGTTAGAGACTACTGTTGGGCGGGAAATGTCCTGAATTTGGCTCGGTGTTCCCCTTGGGACATGAGGTTCTTTTACGTGCCGTAAAGCTACGACACGGGATCCACGGCTTAAAGTCCCTTCCGGAGGACTTGTTCCCTGAATTTTTTCGCCCTTCAAAATTCCACGACCTCCGCCGGGTTTGAACCCGCGTACCTTGAGTCACGAGGTTGGAACGTTACCCCTAGACTACGGAGGCTGCTAATGGCATTACTTACTTACTTATGGAGCTCAGCCCTTCTTGAGAAGCCGCCAATTCTGCAACTACTCATGAATTTCCCAGAATTTTATGGAACCCGAAGGTTCATTACCATGTTCACAAGAGCCCTACACTGGTCTCTATCCTGAGCCAGATCAATCCAAAACATACCATTCCATCCTATCTCTCTAAGATCAATTTTAATACTGTCCACACACCTACGCCTTGGTCTTCCCAGTGGTCTCTTTCCTTCTGACTATAGAAAAGGAAAGAAAATCTTGTTGTAGGCCTATATATTTATTAGGCGAATCCATTTTAAGGCCATACAGTTGGAATTTGTATCCTGAAAATCCTCTCTCTTTTCATATATTTTGAACCACTTTATTAGTCCTCTTGTATGCTATTTAGCTACACGTTGCGTGTTGTAGATTTTTTTGCCGTGTTACCTTTGGTGTTAGCCAGTGGTGTCAATGTTTAAAGCGACGGTTCTCAAATCTTTTGTGCTTTGTAAATCCTGGAAACTGTTACACAAATGTTTAGACCCAATGAAATATATTAAACCTTGCGGAATTCACAATTTATTTTTAATCTTGTTTTCATATAAATGACAAATTATCACTTTTATAATTTATGTTTTTTTAATGCTAGTGGGGTGGGACTAAGTTCGTTGTATTGCGGCCACTTCTGGCCTATTGTACCAGCCCCAGATGATAGGTGAGGTGATTGTGGAGCAATTGGTGGAATGAAGATTGGCAGAGGAAACCTGCCCCAACACCCCTTTGTTCACCACAAATCCCACTTGACCAGATCTGGGATCGAACCCGGCACGTGGTTCTAAGGCATGAACTGTCTTTGCTCGATCGAACGCTGGGACAGTGGGTTCGAATCCCACTCAAGGCAAAGATGTCTGCATATTTTATGTGTTTGTGTTGTCCTGTGTAGATAACGGCCTTGCGACGGGCTTCTCGCCAGTCCAAGGAGCCCTACTGACTGTCTTAGGATTAAGAAACTAAGTGAAACAAAGGGTTTCATGGATGCCCTCTGCTGCAAAGTGGGAACAACATGAAACGAGAGTGAGTGAGTGAGTGAGTGAGAATATCTACTAAGGACCCTACAGAACAAAGAACACAAAACCAAACACTCAAGACGAACTGCTCTGATGCTGTGACTGTTATAATGACTTGTAGAACCGGTGCACTAGGAGGAGGCATTTGTTGCCAGTATTGCACTGAGAAGACACGGTTGGTGCTGAGCAGGCTGCATAACAACAGGTGGCCAGGTCCCCTCCCCATGCTCCATGTACTTTGTGGGTAGGCCGCCGAACTACTGATCAATAAATTTGTGTGCGAGTCTGTATTCACTGCTCAGCAGTTGCACTGGGCCACAAATGCGTTATCCAATTTCCTGTGTATCATATACTGAATAATATGTCGGGTCCCGCAGGAAAATAAACTCACAGATGGAATAGGCATATCCTGGTGTGTGAATGGTTGCATATTCTGGAGCTGCGCGACACAAACCCACGGCTTGAATAAACACCCAAGTTATTATTATCAAAGGCCGTGTAATAGCTCAGGCGGTTAGTTGCTAGCTTCCTACCGCGGCTGCCCGGGTTCAAGTCTGGGTCAAACCATGTAGGATTTATGGTGGACAAAGTGGCGCTGGGGCAGGTTTTATATGAGTACTTCGGTTTCCCATGCCAATCTTCATTCTACCAACTGTTCCACAACCATCATCATCTATCATGTGGGACTGGTACAACAGGCCGATATTAATAATATTATCATCACGGCATCAGCTCAGCGCATTTGGCTACATGCAATATTATCTTTTGGAGTAGGTATAGCGACGTGCTACGGGATTGAAGTCTCGGGTTCAATTCCCGGCAGGGCAAGACTTTTTCTTCTTCACAGCTTCCAGATCGACTATCAGGCTCACACAGCCTCACACAGAACAGGCACCTGGAATGATTTTCTCAGGGTGAAAGTGGGCCGGGCGTGAAGCCATCCATTCACCTCCATCTAAGGACGCATTCAAGAATGATGGAGCCATACCTGCACTCCCCTATACGTCTTTATGGCATAGCGCTTATTCGTTAAACACAGCGAGAATATTGCTTTATACTTTAATATTACGTTTTGGAGAAATCAGGCGAATATAGGAGATTAATATTAAAATGGTCCTCAAACATAAAATGTGCCAATGTGGACTGGATTAAGCTGGCTCAGAATAAGGACAAGTGGCGGGATCTTGTAAACCCACGATCCCGGTTTCCAAGGGAGCGAAGACAGTACATGCCTTAGACCGCTCGGCTACAGTGACCGGCGGAAAACAAATTAATGTATATAATTAATCAAACAAAAAAATAATGATAATAATAATGTTGACTGGTGTTTGGGATATTTTCCATAGTGGCAGATCTTTAAACAATAAATTTGCCTAGTGAGGGGTGGAATCCAGCTGGGTCCACTCGGCACGGCGGTCATTGATTTGCCTATTGTACCTGCCCCGGGCGATTATGATGATGGAGAATTTGGTGGAATGAAGATTGGCAGGGGAAACCGAAGTACTCGGAGAAAACCCAGCGCCACTTTGTCTACCACAAATCCCACTAGCCCAGACCCGGGTTTGAACACGGGCCGCGGCGGTGAGAAGCCAGCTACTAACCGCTTGAGCTATGGCGCGGCCAACATTAACGTTACCTACACTGATTATTTTCTTTGTCACTTAGTAGGATAAACAAAGAGGTCTTGCACTGTTGGATATCTTGGCGGAGCTTGTCCTGAGCCGTGGGTGAGAATTTTAATAAAGAATCCTACTCCGTTGTGTCCCTTTAGACCTCGAATCCGAGTTTGTCAGTGAGAAACAAGGGCAGCCCGTTTGCCAGGAGGCACCACCTGACTTAAGTAGGATTGGTGGGGAGATCTACATAGTGATTACATCACATTAATGTCACGTCAGGAAAATAAATCCAGCTCAGTGAGTGTGCAGTAAACACAGAAATTCAACTGTGACGTGACAACAAAGTAACTCTCTGATTCCTTTTTTTTTTTATCCTAATTCGTGACCGCAAGAAAATTCAGTCCAAGGAAATCACTTCGGCGTGTGTTTGATATTCATAAATAGAAGGGATTATTGCAAACTTTTTGTAACACAATATAGGAACAGATTTTAATTTTAAATGAAGTACGTTTGTGGAGCCGCTAAGGTAAACTTATCTTACTTTTCGATCCTGGCACACTATTCGTAGGTTTGCCTCCATTTCACATTATTCTTGTTGACTTCGGCAGATGTAAATACCTTAGTGGGATTCCGATTCTAGGAAATGTTGGCTGAAATGGGATTCCTAAGAAATGTAGCAGGTTATAAGAGAACAGACCATATAAGAAACCAATCAGATAAGAACTAAATATATGTAGCATCCTAGACAAAATAGTTGCATATCAAACGAAGTGATTCCAAATGTGGAAAGAATGGAAGAAAACCGACTTTCTGAAATATTTTACCAGTATACACGGGAAGGAGAGGCAGACCATTACAAT